AGAATGGACTTAAAGCTTAGGCTTCCTAGATAATTATATGTCTCTTTGTGTGGGCTTGCGGGCTCTCTTTTTTCACTTTCCTTGCACATTTCGCTTTTTCTGCTATAATTTCATCAATAAATGCAAAGATCAGCAAGGATGAAAGGATGAATGATAATGAAATTCAAGCCTACCGACAAAAAATTAAAAAATCAAGATTTTCGCAAGTTGAGATTCCCACTGGAGAGATAAAAAATTTTCTGAATTTGCTGGCTAATTAGCCAGGAGGTTGAAGGTATAAGTGAAGGTGGATTCCAGGAACTATTTGCATTTCACTTTCAATGACCCAAAATACGCCAACCGAACCCACAACTTTTGAATTACTAATTATTCTAATTACTGAATAAATGCACTTTTCTGGTTTTGTACACAAACTATCATTCATAGTGATACGCAAATATAATACACATAGTTGCACGTATGTGCATGCAGGTGCATGTTTGAAAAAAAATCCATTCGTTTTAAGTTGCACTGAAGAATTGTCGTTCTTGGGCGTTGAAAATTTGAAAAGATTGTCCCAATTCTCCTCTTTTTCACCATCAAATACTCCTTTTTTATTGGCATCCACAGAATTCGCAGTTTTATTTATAATTGAATTTTGAAAATTTCATTAACAAAATTTTATAAACAAAAAAGGATGAATGGCTCAAAGAGTTGTTGTTCCCATTTGTGAGGGCTGATGCTCGAGTTCTGTTCTGTTCTCGAGCAGTCCTTTTGTCTCTGAAAATACCGGTGACTCCGCTATATTTCTATCGCCAAATCACTTCCGGGCAAAATTCGTCCCGACCAAAGAAGTGGAATGACGAGTGCGCTCAGAAAAACATTTAAAAATTGCAAAAATCGTTGGCGGTAGTCAAATGCATAGTGTTAACTAAATTAAGGACGACCACACATGTACATACTGCAGTAGTTGTTAGGACCGAGAAGGTGCGAGGAGGTTTGGAGCTTATGAGGCATTCGCCACGTAATGATGTAGGTAACTCACCAGCAACACCTGGATCTTCCAATAACGGCTTCACTCGTGTGGGGCAAAGCACGGTGCGTTGTGGCTGTGCCAGTTGTGTGCAGCAATATGATGGACATGTTTCCTTACTTGGTAAACGTGTTAATTGGGTGAACTATTTTTGGCGATGTACTTAGAGTTATTTAATAAGAGAAAGACTTATGCATAATGTAAATTATAGAGAGTGAAAAAGAAAGAGAGAAAAAATGAATATATGTGTATGCGTGTGCATGTGTATGAGAAATGTGTATGTGCTATGTGTGTGGAATGAGGTGAGTACGTAGAGCGAGTAGGAGAAAAATAATGTTGGAAGGTATATTGAAACAAAATGGCGTCGATCTGTCGGTTGGTCGGTCGGTCGGTCGCTCGGTCGCTCGGTCTGTCGGTTTGTGTCGCTCACTGTAGATGTATGCGTGTATTTGTCGTGAAAATTGTCCGCAGAAATTCGAGACTAAAATGAGTGATGAAAGCAAAGCATCATCGTTATCGACCTCTTCTTTATTATCACCGCCTAATGATAACGATTATCAGACAAAGCTTCTTCAACAGGTTTTCTCCTATCATTACTAATCTCCACTTTTATCATTTTTATTTTTTTCTTTTTTTCCTCACTCTGCTTCTTAAATTTTTTTATTAATTTTTTTCTGAAATAATTTTTTTTTCTTTTTACCATCCCGAAAACCAAAAATCATAAAAAACAATTTTACAAATAAAATCACTGAATATAAACAAGTTGTTTGCATAATCAATTATTAATTTTTTTGTTCGATAATCAATTTTTAAACAACTAGAAAAAGGTTTTTAATAAATAAAGGTTTTTTTTTAATTCACAAGCCATTTAAATACCTATTAATTAAGTGGGGCGGAATAGCCGACTGGACTCAGTTGTCGCGTCAAGAGGAGAGTCCAGACCCTTCACCCAAAGAAGTACCCTACCCCAAGATATACAGCCTTTATAAGCTGCCGCGAAATTGCCCGGCAACGAAAGTTTTTAATCATGCTAGCAGTTAAACACTAATCACTGCTCATTTCTTTCATTGATGCGGTTTTATGCTCTAAACTGAGTGTTAGTTGTCTAAATATCGGCTTCAGTTTTTTAATCAGTTTTAAGTTTTTTGGTGAAATCGATTGCTACAGATTTTTCTTATTTTATCCTTCTAAAATTCTTATAATGTTGTCGGAATTTTTTCTATTTGCAGGTTTTTGTCCAAAACCTGAGATGTTTTTTAAAAAATGTCCAAATTTATGTCTCTTTTAAGAATTGTTTTTCTCCTTTGCAGAAGTTTTTTAAAAATTAATTTAATTTAATTTACTATTTTTCTCTGTAAATTTTCATTGTTAATTCATTGGGAAAATAATTGTTTGAATTTGTTACAGATTATAAATGTTTTATTTATTCATCTGTTAAGTTTTAATTTGACAACGATTTATTATTATTATGTGTATATTGAATTTTCTATTTGTCTTCGTCATCATCGCCATTATTATCATTATTATCATCATTATCATTATTAGTCATTATCATTATCGTCACTACAGCCATTTTTAAATAAAATGTTTTTCCACGCGATTACGCGGGGATTGTTTTTCGATGACTGATTTCTCAAAAACTTTTAAAAAAATTGGTGAAATTATTCATTTTTCCATTTAAATTATGAATTTACTTTTTTTTTCGTTCTAGTGAAATTTGTCATTTCTTTCATGTCACTACAAGATTTTTTTAAATAATTGGTTATAATAAATAAATGATAAATGGTGAATGAAGAACGTAGCGATAACAAATGGGGGAATATCGATGAATTCTGCATTTTTTTTCGAAAAAAGTACTTTTTATGATCGATGTTATAGTTGGATTGGCTAGGACGACAGTTAGTGCAATCAGAGTTGGTATATTTTTTCAGTTTTGATCATTTTTGATCGCTTCATTTGAACATAGTTAGTATAGCTGTATTGCTTTGGAATGCAGTTGGCACAATTGGCACAATTATGCGTATTTGTGTGAGAGAGATGTTTCTAGAAAAAGTGGATGATAGCTTTGAAATAATAGAACTTGTGTTGGTTCTGTAAAAATGCTATTTGCGCTATGTCGGTCTATTTCTTGAAGCAGTGTTCAATGCCGTGGAAGAATATTTTTAAATTTTAAAAATTTTAAAAAAGAATAATAAAAATTTTTGTTATTATAATATTTGTAAATATTAATGAAATTACTTGTAGAAATTAATATTAATCAGTTATTATTTTTATTATTATATTTTTATATTTAATTATCAATTTTATCACCATTTTCATCTATTTCGTAATTTATTATTTTAATATTATTACTTTAAAACTTATCCGTTGGCGATAATATGGCCGAATATACTTTGCCTATATTATCGTTTCAAGCATCGAGGTTTGTTGGACCTTTGTTATTGGCAGAAGTAAATTTGTCATTAAAAATGGATGATGTTGGCGATCCACACTATTTCTGACAAACTGTTTCATCCAATTACTTATATCTAGTGGAGCGTTGCTAATCAGAAATGGTGAATCGTTTAATTATTAGTTGATCATTGAGGATTCTGATTTTCGATAATTATATGAAAGAAGTTCGTTTTTTCTGTTGAAATAAAATTTTGATAATATTAATTGAATTAATACTTTTTTATGGAGAAAACAAAAAAATATTTTATTTTAATATTTTTTATCGAAATAAAGTAATATTTTTGCTTATCGGGTGAGATAAATTTTGCCGGAGGGCGATGGAAGCATACAGGTGAGTCGCCGCTGTCACTCGGATTTATTTTTGCTTGGGAATTATTTAATAAAAAGTTCAATTGATTTCTGTATCTGGTGGCGATGAACGTTTTTTGGGCTCTTTATTTCATTGCTATTTTACACTTTTTTTCGTGGTTCTATAAAGTACAATTCTGTCAGTCATTTATTATTTATTGCTTTCAAATGAATTTTTTATATATCGAAAACCAGCGAGAAATAATGAATGACCGCGTTTTATTTTCGATTTTAAACTTATGTTGGCCATATAATCGAAATGGGAAATCTTAGTGAAGCCATCGGCCTGAAAAGAGAGAGTAGGATTCACTTGTTAGGTTGCCCGCACATAGCTAAGAATGGGGAACTTTAGTTGAATTTTGGATAAGCGATATGGGATTTTGTAAATTTTGTTTTTTAAATTTTTTACAGATCACTCATTAATTTTCCGCTTTGTTTTTTAAAATTTTCGCTTGTAAATTTGTTTATTTTGCAAACATTTATTCATCATTTTTCTTTTTAATTTTGTATGTATTTTTTTACTTTCACCATTTCTGGTTAGACTCGCTTCATTAACTTGTTGGACCAGGCGATTTGGCGATGGAAATACAGTTGAGCTATCGTTCGGATTTTTGAGTGACGACTGCTGTTGCTGGGAGCAGAAGTTAATATCGCTTCGAAAGAGCAACTGAGTCCTTCTAACCCCTTTATATATTTGTTTGAAATGAGCGAAGTTCATTTATTTTCATAAATTTAATGAATTTAGTTAAACAGATAGAAAACGAGATTTATAAGGAAATTAAATAAACTTCAAACAGCGAAATTACTTCAATTAAATTCAGTTTCGAGTTCAAATTCACTTTACTTTCTTTTGATTTTTTTTCGGAAGAAAAACTTGCGAAAATTTGAACTTTCGATAGAAATAATTGTTTTTTTCAGTATAACTACAAAATATTTTTATTGCCTTTTTTTGTATTTTAATATTGTCTTTTACTTGTTCTTCCAGCAGTTTGCACATTTCTCGTTTGATTCACTCCGCTGAATGTTTCAAGCCTTTTGTTCTGTGCCAATAACCGAAATATTTATTTTTAGATTTGTAAATATTTAAAAAAATTTTAAAAAGGAATGCAAAATTTCTCAATATTCAATAGATTTATAAATTTTATTTAGATTTGTAAATTTATATTTCGAAAAATTTTTAAAAAGAATGGAAATTTTGGAAATTTCTCATTTTAATGTGTTTTTTCATATTTTTTTGTATTTCATTGGTTTTGTTTTTTTATCATCAATTCTCGCCATTTCTCAGTTATTTTGGCCATATTTTTAAAGGCAATTTAAGAAAAATATTTTATTTAATACATTTATTGTAATAAAGCAAAAAAATTATTTACTATTTTAATAGTTCTTTATTATTGACAAATATCTTTTTAAATGTCAAAGAAAAAAATGTATTAAAGATAAATTTCATAGTTTTTTTAATTTCATTTCCTTTGAATTTCATTACACCAATTTAGTTTCCTTTTTTTGCAGATTTGTCAGCAACGAAGATTCGATTTATTAATTCAGTTTCAACGTGCTCAATTAGCTATGCAACATATGAATTATTTTCAAGCAATTCATGGTACGACGAATGGTACAAATGTTGGACAGAATGAACAAAATATTCAAACATTGCCACAGAACTTTATTTCTCAATTAAATTCGTTAAATTCAGTTGATACGTCAGAAGATAGCGATAATCAACAATTCTCACCAACATCGAAGGAAAATTTTTGTATAAAAACCAGAAGGTAACTCCTTTTTTATTATAAAGAAGAAATGAGATTATGCGAAACAAAACCAAATTATACATATTATACGAAATTATACGAAAAAAACAGCGTTGATGGTAGTCCACAAAATAAACCTATCCAGGATATGTATGGTTAAGAGAACCAAACAACGAATTGGCAAAAGAAGTCGGAGGGCTAAGATTAGTACCAAAAAAAAGATGCAAGAAATATAGAAAAAGATAATTTTTAGAGCATTGCCTGGATCGGGTCAAACTATTTCACAGTTAACGAAAGATCGCCTTAAGAATATGATAACAACAAAAATGAATAGAAGTCGTGCTGATAGCAATGTACTTATTTCACATTCTTCACAATCCTCATCAGTCACTGGTTCAGGTGTTCTACCATCGTCAAGCGCCATTAATTCAGGTGAATAATTTGTTTTTCAATATTAAATTAATTATCTATTTTTTTATTTTTTTTTTTTAAATTATTCTATTCTATTAAAAGTTTTTAAAGTATATTGAAAAAACATTAAGGATGTGCGTGGAATAATAATTTGGACCATTCAACATCACAAAAACAAATGATTGCCTCAATAAACGCGCCAACTTCGTCACCGCATTTCGAGCCTTATCCGATTCCTTCAACAGTTCATGCTTCACATTCGGGAGCAGCTTTACCTTCGATCTACCAATTACGAAAAGTTAATAGTGAGCCGAATTTGAAAATGCGTATTCGAGCAAAATTATTGAGTAAAGGATCGAGTCCTATTCAGATGCATCACAGTAGTGCTTTTACCTTTCCACTTCGTCAAAATTTAAGGTTTTCTCTTTTTTTTTCTATGATTTCAAAACAAAGATAAATCAGTACAAACTATGAATTTCGATAAAAGTTGGTAATAAATTAATTTTTGAATGAATTTAGATAATTTCTTTCTTTCTGTTTCTGAAGTTCATCTTTATCCATTTTAGTAATGATGGCGATTTTTTAATGGATACTGGCTTTGGATCGAATGTTTCGGTTGAACAACAGCAGTCTTCACCATTGTTCGCTAATGCCCCACATTTAATAATTCCTTCTCCTTCTTTACCAAATTTAACATCTTCATTGCAAATGGATATGTCTGTGTTATTAGCTCAAGCTGCTCACTCACCTTTCTTTTCAATGCCATCATTGCAAAAAACAAATCTTTTAGCTACACCACCTATATCAATCATTGACTCAATTCTTGATCCAGTTATGAGTTCAGGTTGGTTTTTTGATTCAGGTGCTTATGTTAAATGTTTGTATTTCTGATGAGAGTAATAGAATGGTGTCCTTCTAATAGTAAATATTATTTCTAATTCGGTTGGCTATGCTCAATTATTAGGTTGAAGTTTTTTTGGCTAGGCTAGATTTTATTCTTGGTGATAACTTTGCTCCTATCAAGAGGCAAGAATTGGATTCAATATAAAGTGGAAACTTTCTATTTTTATTTGAGCTATATTTATTGATAAACTAAAAAAAATTAATAAAAATAATAAAACTATTTTTGCTGTTCATTGTTCCATTTTCTTGTTTTCGTAATATTGGTTAAAATTAGTTTTTTCAGAGGCAAATAATCGTCAATCAATTAAAATGGATTTGCGCACTTTTTATTCACCGATTCCGCTAGGTGGTTATCCATCTTTATTAAAGCAACAGTTACGTGATCTTGTTTTGAGGCGGAAATCGCTTGTACGCGAAGAACCCGAAGATGAAGCTGCATTGGATGTTTCACTTCTTCCTCGAACATGCGATGGACTGTCACTTAGCTCCGATTCAGCTGATACTATTATTCTGAAGACAGGTTCTTTTGAAATATTTTTTGGTTTAAAATTTGAATTAAAAAGTAATATATAAATTGATTCTGGCTGTCAGCAAGAGTATTTGCCCTTAATTTTAATTTTACTTGTAGGCCTTGTTTATGACTCGCTCATGGCAAAACACCAATGTGTATGTGGCAACAATAACAATCATGTAGAACATGGTGGGAGGGTGCAGTCAATATGGGCTACTCTTATTGAAAGCGGCTTGGTGGACAAATGTGAGCGTATAAATTCGCGTAAAGCCTCTCTTGATATGCTTAAAATGGCACATTCACCTACATATGTTACTTTCTTTGCTGTTTCACCTACAGCATGTCTAAAGGTAAATTATATACGAATAATACTTCGGAACATAAGCCTAAAATTTATTCTTATCAAGAAAATTTAAAGATGGAACCGACTCAATTACCAGTAAAAAGTTTCGTGCAGTTGCCATGTGGAGGCATCGGAGTTGATTCCGATACATATTTTAACGATGCTTCAACTCAAATCGCAGCACGGTTGGCAGCAGGATGTTTAATCGAATTAGTTTCTCAGGTTTTTTCTTTCCCTTAGATAAGATCTTTTACAAATTTTTATTTCGTGGCACTGGAATTTGCAAGATTTAGGTGGCAGAAGGAAAAGTGCGCAATGGCTTTGCATGTATTCGTCCTCCAGGACATCATTCAGAATACGATCAAGCGATGGGGTTCTGTTTCTTTAATAATGTTTCGATTGCAGCGAAATATTTACAACATGTAATATCTAGCTTTATTATTTTGAATTTTTTGATTCTTTTTCATTTACTCCGATTTTGCAAAACTGAATAAGAACTTGATGATAAATTTTTTTTTGCAGCGCTTTCAAGATTCATATTCTCGAATTGCAATAATCGACTGGGATGTACATCATGGAAATGGAACTCAACTTTTTTTTGAGTCCGATCCATCTGTACTTTATATTTCATTGCATCGACATGACAATGGTAACTTTTTTCCAGGCACTGGCGCTGTCACCGAGGTTTGCATATTTTTTTCAAACTGATATTTTAAATTCCACTGTTCTAACAAATTAATCGTAAATATTTATTATTTAATATTTATATTATAATGTTTAGGTTGGGACTGGAGCTGGTAAAGGTTTCACAGTTAATATACCATTTTGTGGTGAAATAATGGGTGACTGTGACTATCTCGCTGCTTGGCGTGTTGTTGTTATCCCTATTTTAGAACAATATAATCCAAATTTTATTTTGGTGTCAGCCGGTTTTGACGCGGCACTTGGACATTCTCAAGCACTTGGCGGGTAATTTTTGCACGAAATATTTTTTTATTTTTTATGTCTCAGATCGCATCAGAAGCTTTTAAGGTATCAGCTTTCTCCTCAAATTTTTGGACATTTTACTCGTCAACTGATGAATTTTGCTGATGGTCGAATTGTTTTGGCATTAGAAGGTGGCTATGATCTTCCATCTATGTGCGAATGTGCCCTTGAATGTGTAAAGGTTAAGAATCAATTTATCTTTTTGTTTTAATTTATATTTGCCGTCAAACAGCAAATCATTTTTAAGAATGGATTCGTTAAATTTTTATTTTATCTGACTAAAATGTCGATCTCAGTTTCTTGATTGGAATATACCTGAAAATGATACTGAAATGGAATGATCAAAAGTACATAATATATTCTAAATCCGCACTGAGTCGAAGAACCGAGAATGCTTTTGCACTTATGTTCCACAAAACGCATAATTTATTAAAACTCTTGCTAATTATTAAATAAATTAATACTAAATTAATTTTTAGTCACTTTGCGATAATAGTTCAGGAACGAATGGAAAACTCAGCGAAGAAGCGTTAACTGCGATTCCTAAGCAAAATGCGCAAGACGCTATTCAAAAGGTAAATTTATCTAGTGAGTTGGTTATTTCTTTTTATTTTTAGGTTATAAAGATGATTTATTCCTTTCTTCCTTTAAATGTCCATTCATTCATTTAAATATAAAGCAAAACCATTCAATATAGTTAATGTTAACCTTATTGTTTTATGAAAATAACAAAATGAAATAGAATTTTTTTCGTTTCAAAAACTCTTTCAGGTCATAGCTATCCACAAAAGGTTTTGGCCGTGCTTAGCATCGTCTCAAGGGATCGGAATGAGTGAACTGCATTGGCAGACCATGGCTCAGCGTTTTGCTACATTAACTGTTTGAGACACACGATAATTTTCAATTCAGATTCATTTGAAATTGAAACTTTGAATATTTATTTAGTAGTATTTCGATGTGAAAACAAGATATTCTTCTGATCTCTGCCAGATTTGAATTTGTTCAACCATTTTCAATTTCTGTTTATATTTATTTTTTATTTTTTATATTCATATTTATTATTCATGGATATTTGTTTTCATTTGCACATAATTTTTTTGAATATGTATGCATGTGTGCCATTGGTTTATTATAATTTAAAATCGGTGATATCATCAAACGAGTAGAAATATTTTTATTGAAACAGTCGTTTTATTTCTCATTATTTTAAAATTTTTCTTTTATTTTATTTGTCTATTTGTAAGTTATGTATATTTACATATTTGTATATATAAATCTATTTCTATTTAATTTTTCAAAAATTTATTTTTTTTAGGAATTATTAGAAACGTAAAACACGTCGCGAGCGTTCTTTTTTTGTTTCTTTAATAAGTAATTGCTCAGTCAAGATTCGGTATTTTTTTAAAACTAATATTAGGTTAATGTTTTACTCCTTTTTAATTATTCAATTAATTATTTATTTATTAAATTAACAAATGACATTTTTTTTATGACGATGAATTAATTAATTGACACATCAGTTTGCCTTATAAACAATTTTCTTAGCAAAAACCGGTTTGCTTCCGCTTTATTTTTTTCCATATAATTTGAATGGAAATTTCTGCACGGATTTTTTTTTGGATTTTTATGTTTTTATTATAAATGGAATTTTACTGATGTTATTTTATGCAAATGACTATCTGAATAGGCTGGCAAAAATTGCGCAAGTAACTTTTCCCTATGTTTTGAAAATGAATTAACAGGCTTCTTTGCAGATCTCGAGGCGCTTCAAGCGCCAGCCTAGTAGCCAATGACTAAACCAGAAGTGATTTCGTTAGAAGTTGGAAAACGGGGATTCATATTTTTAGAACTTCTGTCGTCATTTGTATAAAATTTTTAGAATTTGATTTGGCTTCTGTTAACTGACATTTTTCAATTCATATAACTTCATTTTAATTTGTTCTTGATTTCAAATTCACGGAACAACTGTTCACCGATTTCTTGTTTGTGAAAAATTTCGGCATGTTGTGGACGTTGCATTAATACGATAAATTTGATTAACATCGATTTGTAATTATCACAACTCTTTTCGTCGACCGTTTTACCTCATAAAAATAATGGTTTTTGAACTGCGCATGCAGGCTGCGAGCCAATTAATGGATTTATATTGCATTGCCTTCTAAAAGTATTCCTGATTTCCTATTAGCTAATAAGCGATCAAAAGGAAATAAGTTTTAGGAAAAAGTATTTCTTCCGAATCGAATATATTTAGTGATTATCAAACGATTCTTTTCAACTCAATTTCGTTTTAAATATTTTCTCACAAATAAAAAATCTGGAAAATGTCAAACTGAAAATAATACCACAGTGAGAAAAAAAAGAAAACACAAATGAATGAGAAAGAAAGAAAGACTCGAACAAAGCACACAAAAATTAATAAATAAAGCGCACAACATTTATTATATGAGAAAGTTAGGGAAAATAGCACAGCGATAAAATTAAATCGACATTTTTCGACATAATGAACTGAATGATATAAAATTGTCTCCAAAAATTCCATACTTTTCAGCACTTTCTCACTAGGAATCACTAAGAGAGAGAGCAATTAAGGAGTTTTGGCCAACTGCAAATCGGAAGGCAATTGGCAAACGTCACATATATTCATGAATTATCTATCTATGGCTTGCATTCGTTGAAACGATAATTATTAAGATTTAAAAAAAGATCAATTTTAATAAAAAGAAAATCTTAAAAGATGGTGGGTGGCCTTTATTTAATTTTCGAGAATTCTAGAAAACTGAATTAAATTCGAACAAATTCTTAATTAAATTTTTATTAAACTCATTCCAATTTCAGTTTTTTAATTTTTTGTCGAACGTTAAGTATTAAATATTGAAAAACTGAAAAAACATAATAGATTATGCAGTATTATGCAGTAAGAAAAGAAAAATGCGAACGAAGGAATAAATTAAACGTTTTAGTCGGTAAAATATTTAAATCTCGTAAAATGATTAGTAATGCTCAAATGCTTAAACGCTGAGGGAACGAATTTTTCGATTTCAAAAAAATAGGATAAACAAATACTGGTGAAGACATAAAACTGAAGAAGAAAAGGGATCAAAAATTCCAAACTAATGACATGCGTCAGTTGCGAAAGTGTCAAGCTTATCTGCTTGCGGATTCAAATATTTAAGGATTGCAAATAACCAATGACCAAAAGCAGCACCAGTGACAACTGCAGCAGTTAACCATGAATTATACGTCATTACTATTAACATCAGCCAATAAGCGAGAATCAATTGCATCAAATACAGAGCGGTCTAAAGAAGTTATAGAACAGATTTTAAAAAATGACTGGAATATCGATACATTTCCAAATCGATTGATAAATGGATGAAGAAAAAATTTTTAGCTAAAGTCTTCCAAATTTATTACAACATTCACAAAATGGCAGCTTCAAAGCAATTGGCATCAGTACAGCAACTAGAATAATTCAATTGCAAGATAATATTACAACAACACAATATTAAATTACAACGCCCTATAGTGGACCATCATCCACACAGAAAAAATTTCACATATTGCAAATTACTAGATGACCAAGTGCACAATCAAATCGTGAACCCAAGAAAACATAAGGAATAAAATGACCTTAACGCAAGTCCTTCTCTATCTAACTTTTGTTCAGCATTTAACAAAAAAATCAAAAAAAAAATCATCACTCACCCTTTGAGTGGTATGGATCTTCGCAGAGTCTGAGGCTTATATGTTGAAGGAAAAGTTGGAGGCAGTATCTTATCCACAGAGTCTACAGTTATTCCTAGATACTCTTCTCTCCTGACGTTGTCAACTGGGATCTGTTGAAGCTACTTTTTTACATTAGGGCTGTGAATGCCCCACATTGCCCATGCCCCTATCGCCACATTTTGGCCTTTATTTTACATATGTTTCCTATTTCCTCTTTCAAGCATTGATATTTCTCCAACTTCTCATTCTTTTTTTTTTAAATGTTCCCGTTACTTGGTATTGCTGTATGTACCATTATTGTTTTATAATTCTTGTTTACTGCCACGATGGCCGATAGATTAGGAAGTTCCACAGAACAGTCTTTAGTCTTGGCCTTATTACTCTCCACGATTTTTGAGAAATCTTCCATTTGATCTTGTGATAGTTTGAGATATTGTTGTAGATACTGCTACTTGATTATGGCTTTCGTATATGCTAGTCCTATCCATATCATATACACTATTCTGTCATTAACGCTATTCTGTAATGGCTGTAAGTCCAACCCATCAATCTATTAGGTGAAAGAGAAAGTCAATCTCCTCTGATATAATAAATAACTTGATACTATCCATATAAAGAGGGTGGCAGAATTCGCAAAGAGCAAGACATTCACAGATGATGTATGGAGGATCGAATTATTGGCTTTTTAATAGTTAATTCAGACTACTCCCAGGGCTATCGAGATTTTTAGTCATGAGTTAAGACTGCTCTATCTATAAGCATTTACTGTTTTAAGCCTCTGGTGTTGTTCCCAATTCTCTTTTAAACAAACTAATGAACTAGCCCATATGGTTTTACACATTGGCTGCTATGATACCTGATAAGGCTTTCCACTTCGTGGTTATTGGCCCGTAATTGGATGACGTTGTTTTCTTATTAGGACCTATGACCAGTACCGTTCTTTCTAAAATAGATTTTTTAAATAGGTTAGAGGCTAGCGTTTATTCATGCTTTGCTAGGCTTCATGAATTTCCATCAGTCTTTTTAGCGAGTAGGTTACACTTCCGCGGAATATAAATTTTTCTAAAATTTCTAAATGGGAAATTTTTTGAGAAAAGTGAATTAAGAGTTGAATGGTATATTAGCGTGTTAGCAAAGATATATTTTCAGTAAAGGCTGTTCAAACCATTCTTCAATCACCATAATTCTATATAAGATTAGAAAATAAACCGCAGACTGGACAAAATACTCGACGAGGATTTTGGGAAGATGTAATGGTAGCAAAACATTTCGATACTAGGCAATTTCCAAATTGTTTCACGAATGCTTAATGCTGCATATAATGAAACAATAAATACGATAATAAATCATAGATGGCCAATCATTTCGTTTAATACAAAAATCTTATACGAAAGATTTTAAATAAAAACGAATCTCACCTGAGTAATTCGCATTATTGAAAACGGAGAATAATTATTCTTTTCTCTACAAAATCATCTTATTAAGAACTTTTAAAGAATGAAAACAGTTCAGCATTGTATCTAACATATATTTTTTTTTTCAAAAAACCTTTTTAAATCATTGATTCAAAAATACGACTGCAAAAGAAAAAGGACAAATATATACACCAAATAAAAAAAATGATGACCTGGGTTGATTATGAATCACGACTGGTTCCGAATGATCACCGCGTGAGTCAGGCCCGTTTAAAACGCCATATTCAAGCATTTTTTGGGCATTTGAACTAGTTCGATAGGAGACACTCATACGACTTTCACGAGAAATTTGCAGGTGAATACGAAACCATTTTATTCCTTCATATAACGATGCCATCACAAAAATCAAAGCACAAGATAACAATAATCCTGTCAACAATTGACAAAATATTTACATTCCATTTGAAAGTTTTTTTTGAAAGTTTCTTTAATTTTAATAAACTGGTTCCACTCCCAATTAAAGCTTTTTAGCCGATGGTCGAAATTCAATCCCAGCATCAATTCTCAGTTCACAAGTTAACTTGCATTAATATTTTCATTGGCTAAAGCAGCACATTATTCTACCACCAGCACCTAAATTTTCTGTTCTCCACAAATTTATAGGATCAACAATGAGCTCTGAAGTTTGAACCATGCACCACTGTTAAACACCACTCATTATTTGTTAAATTATAAAACATTCTTTAAAAAATGAAGTTTTGCAGATTTACCTGTGTAAGAATTTACGGACCAAAACTGGAACAAAATCACTTCATTATAACCACCATGGAACCACACCTTCATCGCATGCTGCATATGATGGTTTTCACTTTGCACACTTTCACCGCTGCTGCGCATCATTTCCTTATGGTGTATATGAGCATGATTAGAGTCTACAATTTCTTAAAAATGATTTCATGTAATCTTTAAAATAAATTAAAAAAATGATTTAAAATAAGTGTTTCAGCATGTATCGCTTCTCCGCGACCTGGGACGCACGTTGCGAGGAAGGCTTTCTATTAAGGACGGAGAAAGCACCGTACTTGTTACCCTTTCGCAGGAAGCGGTAACCCTAAACGAAAATTGGGAACCAAATATGAAAAACGAGCGAACTCCTCAAGGAAGCACTGCACTGTCTTTTTGAAGAACGTTCGCCATTTCTGGCTATTCTCGATTATGTCCGCTTAGCTTATCGGATCGAAGAAACTCGGCCAGGGATAAGAAATTTCGCCAGCGAAAGTGGAGAGCCAGCGCCGAGTTCTTGAAAGGCACGTTTGCTGACTGCAAAGCCAAGCGGCGGTGCTCTCGGCAACGACCATTCTGTCAGCCACTCTACTCCCAAAACACCAATCCATTAAATTCTTGCAGAAACAAGCAGAGGCGAATGTAAACACAAAACTGCCTCCCAACACATTTCTCCCACTTCTTCTTGTAATTCCCCGCATCTTTTCGACAAATTATAAAAAACAAACAACTCACTAAAACAACTCACCTTTTCCCACATCCATGACGAATGACCCTTCAGTGGATAATTCAACAGCAACCGACCCAAACGATGACCTTCACATTATGCCGACCCAAACGTTTATTACACGAGGTGAAAACTGCAAATACTGTCACAGCCGCGGCCCAAACACTTACGGCCGGAAAGACCATCCTTGCGATTCTTGGCCAGTACTGCACCACTCGTAAAATGGAGAAAGCCCTTTGGCCTAGGGAAGAGACTATTGCAAGAAAGCCCAGGCCAAACAAAAATTGTGAATTAATTTGATATAAAATTAGCAATTCGGAAAATTTACTAATACGATTAGAGGCTAAACTGGAAATCATTTTTCCTTCTTGTTGTTCAAAAGCACCAATTATTCAATTATTTATAAAGGTCAAAAATAAATTTTAAAAGGATATTAAGAGAAGTACCATTTGACAATTAAAGTTTGACAGTATTAATCCTTTGCATACAATCGAACGGAGAGCGCAAAAGCTTTAGCGGTTAGCCGACTTCCAATTTTTGTTCCACAGGCCCACCTTTTATCTTCCTCATCGAGCCACGAGCCACATCGTAATAACTATTACATTCCCACAACATTCTTCTCATTCTTTTGGCGCGAGCCAAGAAGCTATCATTTGTCATTCTGTTCGTTGGCTTATTAGTACCGTGTGAATACTGTTGATTCTTTTTCCATTAAGCGCTACAGTTAAGGTATTATTAGCCAATTCTTTTTTTTCATTCACTGAACTTTACTGACCATCAATAATAGATGATTGTTGATCAAATAAATGTATTTTCAAATCCTTCATGATTTATAATCTATAAAACTCTTCCAACCGTCGTTCGGCTACATTGGCTGTTCCCTACAGTTTTCAATATTCGATAGATTGGATAATGGCCAACATCCCAGAGTCACAAGAGCCAATCCCGAGAATAGCATCACAGACCTTGAATGAGCCCTTGACGTAGTCTTTTTTGCTAACAATTAGAAAAAAATGCAACAGACGCTAAAACAATGGAGTATCGACAACTGCAGCAAAACTCACTTGTAAATATGCCTCTTACGTACCAAACACTGATAAAACCCTTTTTCAGATCAACATAATTGAAAGAGTGGCACATTTTAAATATTCTGGATCCACTCTTATGTCAAATGACCAAGCGCCTCTGAGTTAATCTAAAGGTATATTCTTCGCCACCCACTGCAAAAACATATCTCGCTACTTGCTAAACCTTGGATGGTATCAAAAGCGCGGAGAACCAGTCTAGATACAACCACAGGAGATTTTGAACATATGGGCAGCAACTAAGCAATATGTGCACTTAGACAGTGGAAAAAGGACTAATTTAATATCAGTCATGGCACCAGATCGAGCGGCTTGCAAACGCCCTAGCCAGTAAAAATAGTCTAACCAATAATGATGAGGGCTGTTAGAAAATAACATTGGCAGTACCATAAGAGTCCTTTGAAATAATGATGGCACCAAAAGCACCGCTATCATACTGTAAGATATAATGTGAAATAAAATGCATAAAATATACAATTATAATTATAATTATAATAGGGAATTAACTATTCAGGAATAAATAAAAAATAAAATATCTCAAAAAGCCATCTCGTCCTAAGCAAATCTTAATATGCAAATATACCTTAATATATTATTTATAATAAGTAATAATTACTTAAAAAATAAAAATTTCCTTTTTTTAAATGATATCACAGTTTTTTATCACGTTCGAACAGTATGATATGATACAAAATCCTACTGAATACCAGAAACTCTCTGAATTAGAAAACTGAAATGACAAATATGTAAAAAATATGTCATTTGTTCATAAATAAATATTTCCTAAGCAAATAGAGGAAAAAGGATAAGAAAGGTGAAATTTTTTATCCATAATGATTAAAGACTGTGAAGATTGTAAAGAATTTAAGAGTAATTTCTGAATTGGGTAGGCTCTATAGGACTATTAGGAGAAACCCGAGAGCCATTTGACGATAGAGGAACAGGTGAAACCCCAACAATTTTAAGCTGAACTGGCATCCACTGAATCATAAAAAGTGGCAGAAATGATGAGATAAAATAATTTTTCACCAGATACATAAAATCAACAATATTAAAACGCAATTTGAAGTGAAACATTTCGAGTAAATCTCAACAATAATTCTCTAGAAAACGAATGCACAATTCAATCACAGAACGTAAAATGAAAAATTGAAAAATTCTTTCTTAATATTAATATTAGTTCGACACAATTTGTGATGAAAAACGAGTGAAGTGATAAGGAAACACGATTCGACCATGTCTTTCTATTTAATTATTAAACAAAGGCGATTCCTTCATATTTATATGATCCTTCGAGTTTTTCCTCATTTAGTAATATATTATCCGATTCAATATTGAACAACGTAACATAACTAGCAACTGGCTTCCCACCTTTCTCCTCCGATTTCAATGCAATAATAAGTCGGTCATTTGTTTCTGGAACGAACTGAAAAGCTGAAAATCCACGAGAACCGGTGAAATTCCCAATTTGACGATAATCTACTTGTGAAAAATCCTGTGATGCAACTAGCAAATAATTCGAACCTGAAACAATTACAAAAAATGAAAGAAGGCAAATAAGCAAAAGGAAATAAAAAATGATTCTCAACAATTAAAGCATTCAGCATAGCATGATATCTGCTCACAGATATAACTGGACTCCTAGCAATGCTGCATCTCATCTTTAATTATTCCTTATCCCTTCTATGTTTACTCCTGAGAACTTGCCAAAAACAAGAATCAACAACTGCCAAAAAACATGCTGCTTAATCTCAATCAGACCATTATGCTGCGTCCAACTAATATAGAACTTTGGTAATACATTTGAGGAATGGATATTGTAGTTTATGGAGTTATAAACAAATTATAGCGAAACTATGATGTTTGAATATTTACGATGAAATATTATTATAAACTTTCAAAAGCAAATGAAAATGTTGGTTAAAGTTATCTAAATGCAATTTCTGACCATCCGATTATTTCGAATTGTACTATATTATACTATTTTGCAACATCCTCTTTATTTCATCTTTAAATTGCTTGTTTTTTGTCATTAATTCTTATTATTTGTTATTTTAACAATTGCTATTAATTCAAACACATGGCGTTTGCGCCCTTGCTTGGCTGGTTTTCAATAAATAAAATAATAAAACAAAAACAAAATAAATAATGATAATGTAAAATAAGTTGAAAAGAAAACCTCTTTCTTCATCCTCCATTTCGTTATATATAAACTGACTGACTCTTCGAGGTAAAAAAAACCATTTCTGGTGAATATCAGACCACTGAGCTGATTCATGTATCATATAACCTGGATATTCGATTCCAACTGAAGAACGTAATTTCTGGTATGGCTCGACCCAATTAATATGTTGAACACAACCATTAGGATTGATTTTCTGAAAAAAAACCTTTTAAAATTTCTTTTAAGCGGAATAAAAGCTATATAAAAATGAGGTCCCTCATATCGAAAATCAAAATAGAGTGGCGAATATTACTTTTTTTCTAGTCAATGAAAGTTGTTTTAATTTTAAAAAAAAAGAACCTTAACCCACATAGGGTTAAAGCTGACGAAAATTCCTTCAGAAGTAGTCCATTCCTTACCAAGTCCACCAGCCCATAATTCGCTATCTTTAACGGTAAGCCACTCGCCTTTGAAAGGTTTTGACTCATTTCCACTTCCATCACTCAAATATACCTAAAAGCAAATATTATTCAACATTTGAAATAAAACTATCAAATGACTTTTAATGAAGATTTAACTATTGAAAAAAAATAAGTAACTGTAGAAAACCAACTTTAAAAACCTATCATGATATCAAAAATGGGTGGCTGCTGGGGACCCACCTATTTCTAAACCCAAGTGACTCTATGGTGAAAGGGTTAGGTCTCTCTGATGCGTCTTCCAAGCGCATGCTACTTCTGACCCGGTGGTACGTGCGATCAACGTACAATTCGGGCGTAATAATAATAATGATAAAATTCCAAGGCATAATTTGAACCGAGATAAGTATCAAAATCTGTCAAAGAAGGCGAGAATCTACACTTTGTAAGCGCGGTGAAATGCTGACTATACTGCTTGGAACATCAGAATGCTTATGGATGTTGCAAGTCAAGCGATTACTGTCCATGCCCTCTTTAAATACCGTGTGGATGTCGCCTACTTATCAAAGGTCTGTCGGTCTGTCTACCTCATGTCGACTCCCGAGTAATTATTAAACCTGACTCCGATCAAAGATATTGGCTATATCACTATGGTGTCTCGGATAACTTGGGGAGAAATGGCGTACCCGATATATATATATATCGATTGATTGACTGAAAAAGTTCGACCCGTTCTGATTGAATGGAAGCCAGTAAATGACCGTATGGTCTATGCGCATTTCAATGGAAAATTCTGCAATAAGTCGGTCAACAGTGTCCAACTTTATGCGCAGATGACCGCGATAAAGATAAGTACGCGGAGCTTCAATTGTTAACGACACCCCTACCGAGAGGTGATGGTGGGTGAGGGGGAGAGACTAGAAGGCGCGCAAAAGTCACAAGTCACGATACCGTTCGGGATCCAGTCGCTGGTTAGCGCATATTCTCCATCGTCACAGGAGTTGACGCAATTTGCTAAACTCTGTGATCAGTGGCGTCAAAAGCGAGGTGGGCCAATCAATACCTGGGCTGATACAGTCAGGAAAGACTTTGAAGGTGTAAAGGGACCAGAGATATGGACCTAGATGATGGAAAAAGGAATGGCTTACTACTAATGATGGCGTCGGACCGAACAGCTTGGAGATGTTTTATCTTTGTAGCCAGCGGAACCAGCCCTCAACCATTAATGGTGAGAGTTGTTAGAAGAAGAAGAAGGTAACTCATCTCGACGACATATTTCCCTATTTCCCGTATGCTTAGTGGTATGTCGAAACTTCAGGTGGAGATTATCAGTTCAGTTTGAACCCTGAAAGTGCCTTGCTTCATTTTTCTTTCCCCTTGTTATTATTATTACTATTTTTTTATTATTTTTTGCTTTTATCAATATTAGTTTAATTTTTTACTATTATTTTATTGTTAGATTATCATTAGCATTATTAGCATTATTTTCATTTTTTTTATACAAGCAAGTTTCTTTGTTTTGAAGTTGGCAACCATTTTATTGCCTGTTAATGCATATTAAAACAGAAATTAGGGGGTTCTCTAAAAACTAGAGTTTCCTAAAAATTCAGTTTTTCGACCAACATTTCAATCGATTCAAAGAATGGTTTTAATAAACCACTATTTTAATAATTTTTTTAAATAATAATTTTAATTGTTTTAATAATTATTTTTTAGAAAAAAATTTTTACTAAATAACTTACCACATAGCTTCCGATGAAAATCTAACTATTCTGTATGGTTAGATTGCTCAAAATATTATAATTTTAGGCTAAATTTTAGGCTAAATTTAAATCCAACAAGAACTAATAATAGGCTAAAATTACCAAAACCTATGTGTAAAACTAAACTAAGGACTTCTTTATTCGTACTATTACTGGAATAGATTACCGAACGACACAGCTTGTGCGTCATACTTAGCTATCTTTAAAAAAGATTAGATAATATGATTGATATGATTTGTGATATTATTTAAAAAGTTCACATCACGCAGGAAGTGTGAAATCTCGATTATAGTTATTTCGAATTGACTAAATTATATTTTTTTGTAATTTTCTCTTTATTTCATCTTTAAATTGTTCATTTTATTGTTATCATTAATTCTTATTATTTGCTATTTTAACTGTTGTTATTAACAGAAGCGTTTACACCCTGCTTGGCTGGTTTTCAATAAATAAGTTAACAACTTATTCAAAAAAAAATTTAGAAAGATGAACCCATGGAAAAACTTGGTCGTCTCTTATCTTATAAAGGATACCCGTTCGATCATCAATAGCCAACAAATTACCATCAAACACCACAAGATCCGATAATTCCATTGACCGGTCACCGACTGATAACGACGATTTCAGAATCACCTATAATATAAAAGAAGTTTACCATTATATCAAAAAACAACAAATGAAGAGATCAAAAGATTTGAAAAAAAATGGTAAAAAAACTAAAAATTTAACAAATTTAAATTCAAAATAAATTTAAAATAAAATTTGCAAAGTAAAAAATAATTATAAAGAAAAAATAAAGCAAAATTTAAAGGACTTCTTTTAGAAAGCAGAAAAAATATGAATAAACTTAAAAAATATGAATAAAAATATGAACTTCGTCGCCATCGTGCCACTGAATCGATGCTTTTGTCCAGTCACTATTTATCGTAAGAGTTCCATGTTTCATGAAACTTAACCATAAATTATTCTCCTTTTTACTGTTCTGATCAAGATCTGTTACAATAACAATCTGATAAATCGACGAGCCATCATGTAATTTCATCACATCGCCTAAAACTATCACTTAATAATAAATATTAATAAATATTTGCAAAAAATGGTTTTCCACCAATGTAATTCGACTTCACAAAATCTAAAATTTAACTGGTTATAGGAAAATAATAAGAAGAAGTCAAAAAGAAAGAAAGACACACAAAGCTAAAAATTGAGGTTATCAAATATATCTTTGATTATCAAAAGAGAAAAAACAATGTCGGGTAGTTGACATCTCCCCAGTTTTTTTTTTTAAGAGTCCTCACCGTTACTGGTTGAACTCGCTCCACTGGCTCGTCGCATTGGGCAATATCCTTTGGCTATTGAAATACAGGTGAGTCGCCAGCATCACCCGGATTTTTGTACAGGTTTACTCCTGCGCGGAATAGAACCCCAGCATCGGCGCTCACACAACAACCCACTGAGCTATTCTATCCCCCACTATTGCTGGATAAACTCGCTCCGCTATCTTGTCGGACAAATATGCCAGGGAGTCCCTTGGCGATAGAGATGGAGAGGGTGAAGTCATTTGTACTTCTTACGTGCAGGAAGCTCTCTAGCAAAATTTGTCTGATTTGATTTGATAAGCCGGCCAAATATAATCAAAAATGATAACAAATTGTGAAAAAGACAAAACAACCTAAACGTGACGAATTGTACAAACTTATAAAACATCCGTTCTGTTCCATTTTCATTGTAAATTTTATAAAACACGAAAATAATATAATTAATAAGGTTGCGATTAATGAAGCTGTCGCCAAGTCATAATTTTTCTCAAAAAATTTTCCATTTTTTTTTAGAAAAAAACGCATTTCGTTTTCCCTTCTTTTTCTAAAAATTTATTTCTCTGAAAGAAAAAATTATTTTTGAAAAAATTTTTTGAAATATTTCTTTTTTCAACATTACGAATATGAAAATATCATTGAAAATTAATTTTAAGGCTTCCTAAGCGGAAATTTTCTAACTGACGAAGCGACAAAAATTTTTCGCTTCTCATCAAAAAAACCGTTAATTATTTGCGTTTACATGAGACCACCATAAATTCCTCTCCAGAGCCAGTTCAATTTTTCATCTATTCAGTCCACACTTTCAACAGTACCTCCAAATCTTATCACCCCACCTCCTTATCACTGTCAACCCATCCATTATTTACTCGTTCTTCGTTTAAAGACCAGTTCATTTATCTATGCAAATCCAAAATAGCGAGGTTGGCGGAGGCTGCATTTTAGTGGTTTAAATTTCCCATTCGAAGGAAATTTTGACGAAACTCGTAGGCCATTTTTATTTCTCGCTGAATGGGGAATCATCTATCTTTTTAAATTTAAAGAATTTCCGAAACTATTCGAAATTTTTTAAAAATAGAGAAATAATCATTCGACGCGAGAAGAAAGTGTTCATTTCGAAAATAATTATGCGGAAAAAAGTTTGAAAAAGACCATCTCTATTTCTCGCCATATAGAGAACTCTTTTCTATTACTTTGCTTCTCTCGTCCTCTCCACATCTATTTGTTCTCTTCTATGTAACGATTCAATTGTATTAGAAATGGTAATATTGGTGTTGGAGTGGAGGGTGGGGAGGGGACGGGGCGGGGAGGGAGGGAGGAGGGAGTGGAGAGAGGGAATGAGAAAGGGGAGATGAATCGAAATGCAACGGCAACCTCTAATAGCATTCCGCAGTTCCCCGTTTTCCTTTACAAGCAAACAGTTCCACGTTTAAATCATTCAGATTTCATACAAAAGTAATATAGCAGGGCCCGTTGAGCATTCATCTTCGTCGCATTTCAGGTGGCTCGGAATTTACCACTTTTTACCAGCAGTTTAGTGTGACTATTAATGGTCTACTTATTTGTCTTAAAGCGGCAATCTGGCGAAATTTTATCATATAACATTCAATGAAACTAAACTGGGAAAGAGTGTTCTAAGAATTGAATATATAAATGATTAATTATTTTTAATTTGATCTGCTCTGATAATTATTTTTGCTGTGGTGTCACAGAGGTCTCCAGCACCATGTGGATTTTTGAAAACGCTTTAGTACCTCAGGTTTAGTACCATCGGAGAAGGCTAGCTAGTAGTTCAAAATCTCAACTGCTAATCACTAAGCTATTAGGAGAAGGAAAGTGAAAAATTGAAAAAATTGGACAGCTGACTTTTAAACAATAAATCAACAAATCATTCGACGCTGAAGTTAATACAAATAATCAACAAATTTTACTCTCTTATCAGTTTTCTTTGACAATATAAATAATCAGTATGCGTAGTCCTTATCAATTTTCATTGGTCAAAGAATATTGAATTATTTTTTATTCTTTCCAGATAAAAGAAAATAATTTATCGGTTTTTAGTTATATTTCACTTATTACACCTAATTTTTTTATTGATATAAAATATAATCTGCGTTTCATATTTCTTAATCACTTGTGGAGCGAGTTAAACCAGCAGTGGTTCGAGCTGCTAGAAGAAGGTTCTATTTAGTTGAACTTCAATAATAAGACTCGATGTTTCGACTGAACTCAGTTAGTTTTTTATATAGAAGGTGATGCATTTGTTAATTTTTTAATTTATCAGTAAATTATGATAATAAATAAAAATATTTATGAAAATTGGTGCTTAATTTCTCCCATTTTTTCTAAATGCGCTCACCATTTTTGACTGCATTCGCTTCGCTTTTTGGGTCAAATTTTGGGTCTCGAAGTCACTTGGTGATAAATGTAAAGGTGATTCGGCAGCACCATCCAGATTTTTGAAAGACGAGCTTACTTTCTGCCGGAATTAGAACTTCAGCATCGGTGCTCCGAAAACAAAATAGAAAACCCATTGAATCATTCTATATTTTTTGAAAATATATTTTCCACAAAATCAAAACTTTTATTTTCTCTTCCTTGCAACAGAAAAGGGAAATTTTTTATAAAAATTGCATAAATCTTCATAAATATAATATGAATAATGATGAAAAATAAATAATAACATTTCTTTTCATGAACGCTCACTAGGCCCGCTCTACTGGCTTGCCAAACCAGATGGAAGTCACTTGGCAATGGGCGTACAAGTGGGTCGCCAGCACCGACAGGGGGTTTTTGAATTGCAGCATCTGTTAAGTCTGTCGGAATTAGAGCCCCAGCATCAGCGCTCACAAATAAGTGTAACAATTCATCGAGCTATTCCGTTCTTATATTATCATTTAGATTGAATTAATTCAATGCGAAATAGCGAAAAATTTGTTGAAATGATATTCAACAGTATTGAAAATCAAAAAAATCGCAAAACGAATAAATAATTCATAAATATGCAAATGAATAAACTAAAAACATATCCATTAGCGATACAATAAAAGCGAATTGATCTCGAAATCCAAGTTCAAATGATGATTCGCATCGAAAAAATTGATAAATCGATTCATTAATCCAAAGCGTTATCAAATTTATCATTCATAATTGCAAAAAATTTCATAAATTTTTTAAAATTTTAGTTTTTAGAAAAAATTATTTATAGTGAGAATTAACAATGGAAATAGGAATTTCATTAATTTTATCTTTCGCTGATAAGAAGTGAAACAATTTGATAACGCTTGATAAGATCCACAGATTCATCATAATGAAAAATGCCATTAAGCTATTCGCTATTGCTGAAAAAAGTATTTGAATTTTTTAATTTCATAAAATTTTCTGGATTTTTTTTGTCAATTTAAAAATAACATGAAAAATTGGTTGAAAAATTATCGCAAGAAGGAATCCAAATAAATTATTACATGGTTAGGCCAAAGAAGATTGGATTGGCTTGGTTCTCATAACACGTGCCGTTTAAAGTCATATTGCTTAGAAGGTATCCCTAAGCAATTCTCCAGAGAAAAGATCTAACTCTGATAAATTAAGCAAAATTAGCCGAACCGGAAACGGTGCATTTTATGAAAACAAGAAGATCCATTAGTTATTGATCTAAGATATTTTAGAAGCCACTAACTTAGTTTAAAACTTCGAAATGATTTTGCAAGTAAAAGTTTGTTATTCCAATCAGAAATGAAATAGGAAACCATTTATGATAATGGTTTACGATAATTTAAATTCAAAAACAATAGCCTAAGATCTAAGAGCGATTTTTCCTTTAATCTCATATAGTATATATATATGTATTAGTTGTGGCTATATCAGTGTTTCGATTAAGGCCAAGTCACAACAACTTGAAGGAGCCCTATCGCAGAAACTTGAAGGGGTCCTATCGCAATGGAGCGAACCCAAATTAAAACATTCTCTCAAAAAAATCATTTATCTTCCTAAATATGAACAGAAATCAAAAAATGATCAAATCACCGAGTTGTTTAGTAGAAAATTCTTCAGCAATGTTCTTGGGAAAATTAAGCCATTTAACATGCAATAATTCAGCCAAAATTAATGCCATAACAAAGAAGAATGGAAATAAAAGCAGAAATAAAAGAGTCGCCTATAATTGAACAGAAATTCATAAGATTTTCAAAAAAATTTTCAAATTTTGGAAGAATTTTTTTAAAATTAAATATAACTTTTCAACAGAATATTTTTCTCGTTCGAAGAGCTCTCATTTCAGGTTGAACTCGCTCCACTAGCTTATCGGACCAGACAAATTTTGCCAAAGAGTTACTTGACGACCGGTGGATCATTATACCAACCAGGATTTTTGAAAGACAAGTCTATTCAATATCACTGCTCCGAAATGAGAAACCAATAACCTATTAAACCACCCTTACACTTATTCAGTGATATGATAAATAAAAGCCAATTTCATAGGAACGAAACATAGGATTTTAGCTATTTCTTGATAAATTTTTCTAATAATTTTTTCTATTCACAGGCAACTTTTTTTTAAAAAGATACAGAGAAGAACAGAACCGGAAACAGTAATGTTTGCACAGTGGTTGTGAACCTAAAGAATATATGCCATATTTACGCCACTGATAATGAACTTCATTTCAAAAACGCCCCTCATTTCAATAAACGCCCCCTCTGCCGGCTTTCAGAGCTGACAAACTTTATTGAT